TTTGTTCGTTGTTGAGAATATATCTTTGCATCTCTTTATTCAGCACTATAATTAACGACACGGGTACATCATAACGTAATCTCGTTTGAAAAGATGTAGCGCGAGTAAGGAAATTAGATGTAGTCCTCACATTCGTAAACAATCCCGTAAAAGCATCCTATATGCTGCACATTTGCAACGTGTTATTGTTAAAAACTTGAAATATAGCACAATTTAAAACTTTTCTCTCCCAACTTCAAAGTATTCAACTTATTGCATTTATCAAGCATTCCTACATAATCATTCAATAAACAAAACAGTCAAATCCTCCAGCTAAACAAAACGTTTCTGAGCAATTTCTCCTAAAGCCTACCATCAAAGTGATGTCGATGATGAAGTTGGCTAGGTTCAGTTGCATTGCGTTGAGGAATTTGCGAATTTACAATCATATTTTTGATCAATTGAAGAAGTCGACTGGATGGAAACCTTTTGATGAGATATAAAAGGTTTCGGCGTTGGCAACCCAAAATATCAATTTGTCGTTTGAAAACTCCCTCCAAAGAACTGATTACAGTCGTCTCAAACAACAGCTTACTTTATTTTCAAACGAAACAGTTAAATCCGACAAATACACCGAAACAATCTTAAACCGGAATGTCCGGTCCCGAAATGGCGAGCGCTGAAACATCCTATCGCACTCTTGTAGGATGGTTTTGACCGGACGATATTATTTAATCAACGATCTACTTGTTACAGCAACATGGGTTGGTGGTGCGTATATAAATGGCACAGCCGAGGCACTGTACAAAGGAGGTTTATTGGGATGTCAAGCACCGTTCGGTTATGCTCTGTCGTTGGTTATTGGTGGCATTCTGTTCGCGAAGAAGATGCGCCAGAAAGGATATGTGACCATGCTGGATCCTTTTCAGGTCATTCATGCTATGCGTTCGATGCACTCCAATCACATAAAACTTGACTAACTGAAACTAAAAATACTCCAAAAACCAGATCTTACTCACAACTTGATTTGATCTTATACCAATGCCATTCGATCCCACTTACCTATGAACGAATCTAGTTCTTAAAAAGTTCGAGCGATTATTAGATTTTCGTTCTTGCCTTATTAGGATCCAATAAGTGATACCTTTCGGTTGGCTAATTTTACTAAAGCGAACTGAGTTCATGATGATGTGAAGTGTGTAATGTCATCGCATTATTTATTTGCATTTGTCAGCTAGTCTTGACACCATCAATAAATTCGAGTAACGGTTGAAATAGGAAATTTGCAGTTGAAATACGGGCAACGTGTCGGTG